ATCTCTCTTAGGTGACACCCAGGTTGATCTCAATCAGATAGGAAGCATACCTCACAGGTTTGTTATTATGGGGAAAATAGGAGGAGGAAGTTGTGTTGGTTATGTTCACCACCTTGAGTTATTTGTAAAAATAACAAAGGCAGGATACAAACTAATCAATATTCAACAATACGAATTAAGAATAAGAATTAATGGGAGATATTAAAGTGTCCTATCTGCCTGAAGTAAATATCTCCTTGTCCTTCTTCCCGATGTAAAAAAACCCTGGGGTACTGATAAAAACAGCACAAGTTACATGGACATAATAGAATCAGTGCTCCTTGACTGTGTACCCATTTTGCCCTAAGAATGGGCATAGGGTGATGAACTGGCAGGCAAAAAGACAGGCAGGGGGACTTCATCTATAACTGGAATTGACAAACAAGTCTGCTCTGGTCATGTGGTTTGGGGCCTGAGATGAACAGACATAGCTTCCCGCTGTCCTTTGATTCCTCACCCACAGCCTGTGGAGAGACAAGCTGGCAGAAGAGGGCAGCAAAGAGGATAAGGATGAGAGGGTAGGTGACCCAGGCCAGGAACTGCATAGGGATGTTGGGCTGCATCTCTTTGTACATCCACTTGTAAGCTGTAGGGGAGAAATAACAATAGATGTGAGTGATTATAGCACCTGAACAGAAACCCCCAAAAAACAAATTCAACCCATGCAGGAGTTATCATTGGCCGGACTCAGCCCATTACCAGAATGATAACCAAATGTAAATTAGCAGAGCCTAACTGAACAAGGCAAGAACATTTTCCAATCTTACTCTGCAGTCTTTCCTACCTCCATTTATATCAGTGATGGCGAATCTTTTAGACATCAAGTGCCAAAACCCGCCCTGCCCCCGCTCCCACCCGCCCACCTCCCTGTCCCACTCTGCCAGTCCATAGGACCACCTACCGCCTCCATGGCCCGTCGCAGATCACCCAGGCAGCCCTGCAGTGCCATGGCAGCCACGCCCTCTGCCTGCGCCCCACAGTATCATCTGCGCACGATGGGGTGCAAGGGCGGAGTCTTGTCCCCACTGCCTGGCTGCCATGTCCTTGGCTGGGCTGCTGTGTGCGGGCCATGCCCATGGGTGACTCACCTCCGGGGGTCTGTTGGTGAGGAGGGGGCCGTGGAGGAGGCGGGGCTGGGGCAATGGTGCGCATGCCCATAGAGAGGGCTCAGAGTGCCACCTCTGGCACACGTGCCATAGGTTTGCCACCACTGATCTATATTTTCAAATGACTTGTGTCAAGTGGCAGGGTGGGATAGAAGAAATCAGTAACAAGCATTTCCTTTTCTTTTTGTGGAAGGGCATTTTGTCAGGATCTGTGCAGGGTTCAAAGAGGGCAGGATCACTGAATGGCCGATCTGGAGGCAACCCAGATCAGTTTCTACGATCAGCAGCAACCCAACATCCAGCCTAATGAACAAATGCAGCAGCTTTCCAAGGCCATTTCATTCCTTGTTTGGATAGCAGATGTTCGCTCGGAATGAGAGATATCTACCTGCCTGGTAAAAGACCCAGACCTTAAGAGGAAAAGCACAATGTTTGCTTTTGGAAAGAGCAAACAGTAGGAAAGAAAACAAACAAGCACACCTTCCATGACCAAAACTACCTCCGAGTTTCTCTTTCAATCAGCTGTGCTTTCAAGAAAGTATCTCTCTACTCTGTCTTGTTTGACTCTTTATGTGATATGTTTGTTGGGGATTTCCATTGGTTTCAATTGTGAATGATACTGCTTTAATAAAGAAACAGAGTAGGTGTGTTTTTAAGTTGTAGCATTTCTTCAGAACGTGATCCAACTTACCTTGCAAGCTTTTGGCACTGGTGTAATCCACCCCCCAACTGACTAGTGCCATGACCAGACCCAAAAGAATCAAGAATATCCAGTCTTCTCCCAGTTTCTTCGTAACATATTTCTTGATACTTTTAGTACAGGCTGCAGAAAAGGAAGGTCTTTTAAATAGTGGTAAACTTTCCACCAAAGTTACTATTTTATAGTTCTATATATCACACACTGGGAACTGTATGACACTGTAATAAATGTGTCAAATTACTTCCACTGAAATCAACAGGATGAGAGAACTTAAATCATGCCAGATTGTGTCATTTCCTTCCAAACAGATGGAGATACATTTAAAGCTTGCAGAACTCTCCTTAATTCAGAGATGTTGAAGAACATAAGCACCAGTAAATTCATTAGGTTTAAAGTGCCCTGATTCATATTTTATCAAGCATGTGCTATGTGACTCACTGAAAATAGCAAACTGTAGGCTTAAAACAACAAAAGTAAAATAAACATTCTCCATTTCACTTAACTGGAAAAAAAATTCTTACATTGATGTCCAATCTGAATTAGAAAAAGTTACTTAGCCCACAGTGCTTTGAGAATACAGGCGAAATACAGTAAATAGCATATGGCATTATTTTTAATAGGTCATTAGCTCCTACTCTTCAGCATTGCTAATACAAGGCCCTTTGTGAATATGTTTGAATTTCTGATTTCTCATTAATTAACCTTTATGTATGCAGAAGTAGCGTTATCATATATTGCCTAATTTTCTTAGTAACCTTTTTTTAAAAAAATCAAGTATTCTACGGCTTTAGACTCAGGTCCTGAGCTAAATAGCCAAAACACAGCATTCTTCAGCTTTCTTTTTAAAATGTATTTAAGTGGTCATTTTTATTTGAAGAAAAAGCAACTGTGTCGTTTCTCCATTTGTTTTATATTCCAAATTCTAATGAGGGTCTTGTGCCAATTTCTCATCCCTATTTGTGCCCCAAACCACTGATCACAATACCCAGAGGAACTGGGCAAGGGTGGGGGGAAGTGGGTTAGCAGGAAAGCAGGACTGTGAATTGGGGTTCATGCTTCTTTTCAAACAATGACTGCTGAAACATCTTAAAATCTGATCTGGTGCTCCTCAAGGAAGCAGTTAGTAATAGCAGACAAAATTTTCTTAACCTACTTTTTGTTAGTTTTTGAAAAGAAATCCGTATCCAACCCAGAACAAAGCAGATATGCTTTATTCTTCAAAATGCAACATGTATTTTCACAGAATTGCTTGAGAATGCTAATGCGTTTGTTAATCAAGAATGAGCTTCACTATTGCTCTACATCAGGGGCGTCAAACTGCCGGTCCACAGGCCAGGTTGCATTATACAAAGGCTGCGCCCACCTCAGCTCTGGCAATGCACGTGATGCGGCGAGTTTGACACCCATGCTCTACATCAGTGTTTCTCATCCTTAACAATTTTAAGATGTCTGGACTTCAACTCCCAGAATTCCTATAACTGACTGGGGAATTCTGGGAATTGAAGTCCAGACATCTTAAAGTTGCTAAGGTTGAGATACACTGCTTTACACAAACTATATGTTCTATCATCCAAAAGCAAACCTAATTCTTCCGTGTTGTTGGACAGTGTCAGGAAATGTTTCATCTTATTTGTGGGTAAGAATCTTTAAAGAAGTGTGTCTGATGTTCCTGACCTTCTCATTGAGAAAACCTGAGGGAAGAAGAGATCTTGGAGTAAATGCTTATGTCCCTTTTCTCAACTTCAAAGTCTCCCAGTTCAAATAGTTTTCATTCATGAAAGGCCTTAAGATTACATGCAATGTGTAGTTTGCCCCAAATGCACTCACAGCCACAATCATGGAGGGATTTTTTTTGATATATTGGAACAGTTAAAAGATATGTGAAATAGAAAATATGAGAACTACAGAATTAAAGCATCAAAACTTCCATTCTATGTTCTTTCTTTCCATTGTTCCCTCTCACCATATGCAATAAACTCCAGTGCAGTTTACCCTGAAGCTACAGTGAGCTTCTTGGAAGTGCCAGTTTCACTGGGGCTTACCATGATACTTAGAGTAGCTCTCCTCTTTGAGTTCAGCATGCCTTCTCTGTTCCAAGGGGTCTGGAGACTTCTTATTCAGAAGTTCAGCTGCTTCCTTCTGGGAAAGACTGGGAAGCTGTTCTGTATACTGGCCATAGAGCTGAGATAATAATAATAGGCGGTCAAGACACTCCAAAGACAATATAGAACAAGACAGCCAGAGACTACAAGAAACATAGTAATAACTATGTCAAAATGAAGTACATTTGTTGTAATTATAATGCACAATTGAATGTAGACATGATTCAAGGTCCTCTGCCATAAATGACGTTCATTGAGTCTAAACCAAATACATTTGCTCATAATCCTGATTGGTAAATGTTCACACAGGTACATATATTTCATGATGTTGCGCTTGACAACTTGAAAGTGTAAATATGAAATGGTATGAATGTTCCGCCTGTGGCAGGAGATTTATGATAGCTCATTCATGCACAATCTTATTTCATGCTGCATAATCATTGATGAATGATGAATCTATGTTAACCAATCCCAACTCTTGAAGAGATTTTTACTACCCTGCTGGTAGATATGTATATTCTCAATCTTCCAAATTGCATAGCAGTCACACATTGTGGATACAAGATAATGAGATACCAGTCTATAGGCACTTGCAATGTATAGATCAGATCTTATTGGAAGGAGTGGGGCAAGGAGAGTGGACTCAATCTGAAAATAACCCAGATTATTTCTAGGCATTTTTTGAATATTAAACTAATCTAATTAATGATTGCAAGAAGGAATAATGCTGGTAGAAAAATCAACAACTGCACGATACATGAAAAGAAGGACTAGGGGTGACGGAAACTAATCAAGGAGAGGATCGACTTAGAACCAAGGAGAAATTTCCTGACAGTGAGAAGAATTAATCAGTGGAATAACTTGGCTCCAGAAGTTGTAGTGCTCCATCACTGGATGATTTTAAGAAGACATTGGACAACCATTTTTCTGAAATGGTATAGAGCAGGGGTAGTCAACCTTGGCTCTTTTATGACTCGTGGACTTCAACTCCCAGAATTGAAGTCCACGAGTCATAAAAGAGCCAAGGTTGACTACCCCTGGTATAGAGTCTCCTGCTTGAGAAGGGGGTTGGACCAGAAGACTTTCAAGGTCCCTTCCAACTCTGTTATTCTATTCTGTTAATATATAGTATACTGTATATCAGTGATAGCAAACCTTTTAGAGATCGAGTGCCCAAACCGCAACCCAAAACCCACTTATTTATCGCAAAGTGCCAGGGCCACATCAGCATTGTGGTGCCCTCGGGGGGGGGGGACAGGGAGGTGCCTCTGAGTGCCGCCTCTGGCATGCAAAAACCGGGGGCACAAAAATGGGCTACCGTGCTGCAAGGCGCAAAAACGGCCACTGCCACACCTCAGGGTGCAGATACAAGGCACTGCACCACGCAAGAATGGGTCAGGACTAGTGAGTATCACACAGGCACTAGCCCTGCCCCATTTGCAGCACATGCATGCTCGTGGCCCCGTGCGTGCATGCATGCATGTAAAATGCTTCCCCCTCCCTTTTCTTCCAGTTCACCAATCGACAATGGTTGGTGACCTCTGCTCTACCACCTCTACTCGAGCTTGCTAGTCGGCCACTTCGCCTCCTTTGTGCTGGGCAGGGCTCCTGCCCCAGGCAGCAGTGGTGGCCTGATGGACCTGCTGCTGGCGGCAGTGGTGCGTATGCCAACAGAGAGGGCTCTGAGTGCTGCCTCTGGCATGCATGCCATAGGTTCGCCACCACTGCTGTATATTCTATTATTTTATATAATATAATCAGTGCAATAGGGACCCCAAGTATACTATCTCCATGATTTGCCTATCCATATATCTATAAGAAACTCATGTTTGTTGTCTAGTTGCATTTTGAAGCTAAACTAAATAATCTGTAGCATGCAGACAGCAAAAAGGTGCAATTGATTTCCAAGAAGAAGATATTTCTTATTAGCTCAAAACATGCCCTCTGTATCCAAGATATATGGAGAGAGAAAAATTCAAAGAAATTACAATATACATTTTACTCATATAGACATAAATCATGGTCTAGAATTGATATGATATGGACAGCTTTGGAACTTAATACAATGATACAAGAAATTGAGATAGAAACTAATGTTTAGGCAGATCATAACCCAATAAAGATGACTTGCCGGGGAGATGGTTAACATATAGGCTGAAAAAAGAAAAAGAGAAAAAATTGATAAACAAGCTGCAAGATCCAAAAGGTGAATTACAGTTTCAAAATGATACAATTAAAAAAATTATTAAAGATTATTATGAGATACTTTATAAGGCAGAAGAAATTCCAAAAGAAAAAATACAGCAGTACTTAAAAAAAGCAGACTTACCAAAAATTTCAGAGAATATTCAAAACATATTAAATGGGAAAATATCAATGATGGAGATTATAGAGG